ATTCTTTCCATCAGGCAAGGATCTTGATGTAGTTCTTAAAGCAACACCTGTATTGCCAGAGAGAGAAGCAAGGATCATCATTGTCCAGATTTTTCAAGGCCTTGTTTACCTGAACAAAAGATCACAGAAGATTATCCATTATGATTTGAAGCCTGGAAATGTTTTATTTGATGAGCTTGGCTTTGCTAAAGTCACTGATTTTGGCCTTAGCAAGATAGTAGAGGATGATGTGGGATCCCAGGGCATGGAGCTTACGTCTCAAGGTGCTGGAACTTATTGGTAAGTGATGAATTATTTATGACATATTTGGCATGGAGGGTTGAATAGTCCTAGATAGTAATAAGCAATATAAAGAAGCTAAAATCTTGTTCACCCCGTTGCCCAGTCCTATTCATATTGCATACCAAACATGGACCTCCGGTGTTTACTATCAGACTTTTTTTTTGTGTAAATATAGTAGATGTCAGCATTGAAGTGTCTTGCTTTGTCATGTGGCTTCCATGCAGTTGTTCTTATTCTGCATTTCCTTCTCCAATTTGAGGCATTCCTTTGAGCTAATAAATTGAACTATTTGTTATTTGTTAAACTAGTATGATAAAAAAAGCAGATATTCTTTTTTATGCGTGCCATGTGGCTCTGTGATTTTACCCTGCATAAGCAATTCCCCTTTGCTCTTTGGCTTATGTTATCCATTTTCCTGTTTGTATGTCCAAAGCTATCCCTCGTGGTCGCCAATTATTAATAATAGTTGTCTCATTTTCTGAGATTACTTCTTGAAAGAAAAGAGAAGGGCATCTTATTATCTGAGATCAAAATAAAAATTAGAAATCACAATAAAAGTAGAAATAAATAACCCCTGCCTTTGAATCCTAGTTGCTAGCTGAAAAAGGAAGGGAGAAAAAAGAATTCCTTAATACTGGTCTTAGACACTTGTGTTTTAACTAGTTCTGATCAAAAGTAGAAGACTATCACAGATGTTGTTTGAGATATAGTTGATTGTCAGTCTTGATGGCTTTCTGTTTACTGTTCTGGACACGAGAATTTGAATAAGTTATGCTTTCACCGTAGCCTCAAGTACGACTCGAAAAACTCCAGATTAAGGACAGTAAATCTCGACTGGTGAAGCACCTGATGTGGAGTGGCTTTGACCTGCATCTATCAAAAAAAAAGAATTTGAATAAGTCGAACTATGTTAATTTTATTTTAGTCTCATTCACACAGTAGTAACGTTGGATTCTGGACTTTGTATCAGAATGCCTTTCCTTTTCTACATATTCTTCTGTTGATCATAGCTTCTGCCGTAATCTCAGGTATCTGCCTCCAGAATGCTTTGAGCTAAACAAGACACCTCTCATATCCTCAAAGGTCTGTTACACTGTAATTTCGCATATGTGAAAGCATGCATGAATGAGCTTAAAAAATGTGAAAGTTATATATATATTTTTTTCCAAACATGTTTGCACATGTTATTTTTTCTGTTTCAAGAGTTAGAACATATTTTGACTCTTAGCTTATTGTCAAATTAAATAACTTATTTCCAAAATTAACCAATAAAAAAATTAGTTACCATAAAACTTCTTATTTGCTTATAAGTAAACTTCACAAGCTTAGCCGAACACACTTAAATATGTGAAAGCTAGAAGAAATAAATGGCCTAAACACCTGAGCTTACTTTTTCCTAGCTTCAGAGTTGGCAGGGTGTAGGGCTTTTTTTTTTTTTTGGGTGGCTGTCATATCTTTAGATGTTCTAGTACAACTTAGCCCAATTATGATTCCTACTCGTATGTCTCTGGAAACAGGTTGATGTTTGGTCGGTCGGTATTCTATTTTACCAAATGCTATTTGGCCGACGTCCTTTTGGACATGACCAGACACAAGAGAAGATTTTACGTGAAGACACCATTATCAAGGCCCGGAAGGTAGACTTCCCTTCAAGGCCATCCGTATCAAATGAGGCAAAGGTACGCGATATACTCTTTCTTTAGGTTAAAACACCAGTTTCAACGAATTTTTATCGAGTTGTTATTAGTAATTAAACTTTAATTTGTTCCAAGTTAGTACCTGAAGTTTGTTAATCTTTTCTTTTCTTCTTCTTACTACTTCAGATTCTTGTCTTGCACATTTACACATTCAATATTTTCTAGAAACACTTTTGTTTTTCTCCTTTTTCATTTTTCTTTTTGCTTCCCTCCCTTTGACAACGTGAGTCCCAGAATTGGATCTCGACTTCTATCGGATGTTTTATTTTGTTTGAAGTTCTATTATTGGCTATTATGCGATGGTTTTGCTCATTCTTAAGCTTTGTTTGCTTAGTTTTATTTTTTTGCTCAGTTTGAAGATGCAGTTCTTCAGTGTTCTAAACGAATAGCTTATCTTCGTATTTATATTTTATGCAGGATTTTATTCGTCGTTGTCTGACATATAGCCAAGCCGAGAGACCAGATGTTTTAACTGTTGCTCAAGATCCATACCTAAGTTATACAAAGAAATGATGAAAAATACTTCTCTTCTCTGTGGTGTGAAAGAGTTTTGAGGAGACAAATCACAAAATCCAAAGGGAATTTTGAATAGTTGTAAAGCCTTTGTAACTTTTTGCTTGATAGATGGGGTACCCCCCCCCCCCACCCACCAAATCCTCTTCATTTGTGTTCATCATCAAGCATATCTTTTGCATTGAAGAACCCATGGAAGTAAATGAAATGACCTCTGGATTTGTTTGAAGTATATCACTGTTTTATAGCTGCTGGTGTATGGTCAAGAAGTGTACACTCTTGAGAAATGAAAAATGTACACATCGCAACAACATTTAATTAAAAATTTGGAGTTGGGACATTATTTTTTGGTCAGATCCTGCTCACTCTCAGAGCTTGGAATGTATTATCAACCACTTATTCTTATTTGTTTATAAAATCTACAAATACCATCCGCTTATCAATCACTCATTCTTATAAACAGTTTATAAATACTTTTCAAGGCATCATGTACAACTTGAGCTTGCCCTCAACTGCTAGGACAGTTACACACTTCTTTGAGGCCCATTTTGGAGAGAAAAATGTATTTTGGAATAGTGAATTTTTTAGAGAATGTGTAGTTAAAATTAAGAAAAAAGTTTTCTATTTACGTCTGAAATTATTTTATTAAAAAATATGCGGTTGAAAATGAATTTTTGGAATAAGGGGTTCAAACAAGGTAATTTAGCAATACCTTTATAAGCCCTTGTTTGACAATCATTATTTTTAAAGTTTGTAATTCTTATGTTCATTTTCAAATTTCAACTACATATTTATATAATAAAATATTATATATATAAATTCAAAACTTTTACCTACTTTTTAATCACACAATCTTCTAAAAAAGCACTATTCAAAATTCAATTTTCTCAAAATAATGGCCATCAAATGGGACAAGTCAGATTGCTCTATTCTTCAAGCACTCAGCAACTGCTTCCAACCACGCGGTCACGTGCCTGTGCTTATTTTGTCAACCAAACTGTGGATAAAATCAACTAGTCAGCAAGCTGGAATCCATATATGCCTTGATGCCAAAATCCAACCTATGAACCTACGTAGAACGCTTGCATTCGATGCTCGTAATTTCTTGCAACCAATGCTCGAAGCACTCGTACACTCCCACTGAACATTTGCCCACAACCGAAGTTTGCCTGCCTTTGTCCGCCATTAGGCAATTTACGCTGAATTTCTTGAGAAATATTGTATACCCTGACACATTTTAAGGAAAAATCCGTCGTGTAGTGCTACCATCAAGTAAATCTTGCACCACAAGACTTGTGTCCCTATGAAATGCATGCATTTCTCGCATATCCATACAAACTCGACACGCAATTTGAACAAATATGCCAATCACACACGCATTAAGTAAAGTGAATATAGTGAACAACCCAACCTCTGCGTTTAAAGCTTTGCTAGGAAGCTTCTACTTCTTGAAGCTTTGTTTTCCTTGAGAATTTTGAAACACAACAATGGACTTGCAACTAGAGTATACGAAAAGGATTCTCTTTGATAGCAATCATAGGTGAGTTCAAAAGGATCGGGTTGTAGATGGAGACTTAAACCTGCGTGGGGTAGGGACGGATGTTTGTGAATCCATCATGCACGGGTTCAATCCCCGTCATTCACCCATCAATAAATGGACCAATTGTTTTGGAAACACAGATAAACCTTTATTATTCAAAAATGTATTTATTTATGTTCTTTTCAATTACACATTTTTTAAAATATATTTTATTCTCTGTTCTTTTCAATCACACATTTTCAATGAAATAATATTATAAACAACCCAAAATTTTTTCCTTCATTTTTAATTACACATTCTCCATCAATTTATTATTCTAAAATATAATCTACACAAAAATGAAACTCAAATAGGCCTCTTGTTGATTTCCATTATTTTCAAAATACATTTTTTCTCTTTTTTTTCAACCACACTTTTTTCAATAAAATAATATTACACAATCCAAAATAATTTCTTTCACCACATTCTCCATCAATATACTATTCTAAAATGCATTTTACACAAAAATGATGCTCAAACATGCCCTAGAAAGAATTTTTTCTGCAAGTCATCTTGAGGCTTTCAAACGCATCCGAGCATCAACGCAATATCAAGCATCAACACGTAAACTTAAAAAGCCACTGTTTGAGCCTCATTTTGGTGAAAAATCAGTTTTGTAATAATGATTTTTTCCAAGGATTTGTGGTTAAAAAATATAAAAAAGTTTTAATTGATAGTGTGGTTGAAAATGAATTCCCAACAAAAATCGTTTTGCAGAAACTGAAATTGAAACAAGGACAAATGAGCGAGCACAACTCAGTGCACATCTGCAACAAGACATCGGCACCTTCGGAAGCCATCAAAACAAATAAGGGCTAACAGTTGAAACCTTTGCTCGTCCGTCCGTCCGCCTCCCGCCGCCTCTTTCGGCTTCTCGTAGTCGAGTGATTCAAATATCCATCAAATTTCTCCGCAATCATAACTCAGCAATGCATCTATTGACTCCAAAACCTCAACTCAATTTTCTCCTATGGTCAATCAAACGGTATTCTACTGCACTCTATCTGTCTCATCTGCACACCCAACCCGTCTATCCCTCCACAAATGATGCCGTTGAGCAAGTCTTCCGCATAATTACCACCTCATCCACACCACAATCCCTTAGAAACTCCCTTAAAACCTCCCAAATCCCGCTCTCAAACGACTTAGCTGATAAAGCCCTAAAAAGGGTCCGTTTTTCCCACTCCAACCCACAACAAGCATTGGAATTTTTCAAATTTGTTTCTAGAAAAAAAGGCTTTTTTCACACTCCATACTCTTTGGACACAATGCTATACATTCTTGGTAGAAGCCGTAAATTCAATGAAATATGGGACCTTTTGTTGGAAACTAAGAGGAAGGACCAGTCTTTAATAACACCGAGGACCGTTCAAGTTGTTTTGGGTAGAATAGCTAAAGTTTGTTCGGTCAGGCAGACGGTTGAGTCGTTTAAATGGTTTAGAAAGCTCATTTTTAAGTTTGATGCTAGTTGTTATAATGCATTGCTAAGGACATTGTGCCAAGAAAAGAGCATGAGTGATGCTAGGAATGTGTATCACAGTTTGAAGCATGAGTTTAGGCCTGATTTACAGACTTTTAATATCCTGTTGTCAGGATGGAAGTCGCCTGAGGAAGCTGAAGCATTTTTTGCGGAAATGAAGGACATGGGGGTTGAGCCGGATATTGTGTCCTATAATTGCTTAGTAGATGTGTATTGTAAGGGAAGACAGATTGAGAATGCTGTTAAGGTAATGAACAAAATGAGGGAGGAAGGGATTGATTTAGATGTGATAACATATACTAGTTTGATTGGGGGGCTGGGATTGGTGGGTCAACCGGATAAGGCAGCAGAGGTTTTAAAGGAGATGAAGGAATATGGGTGCTATCCGGATGTCCCAGCATATAATGCTGTTATTCGAAACTTTTGCATTGCTAAGAGGTTAGGAGATGCATATAAATTGATGGATGAAATGGTGGGAAAGGGATTGAGTCCGACTGCTACAACTTATAACGTGTTCTTTAGGTCTTTTTATTGGGCAAATGATATGAGGAGCTCCTGGAGCTTATATATGAGGATGAGGGAGACAGGGTGCTTGCCTAATACACAATCATGCATGTTTTTGATTCGTTTGATGAGGAGGCAGGAGAAGGTGGAGATGGCGCTCGAGTTATGGAATGATATGGTGGATAAGGGTTTTGGGTCGTACATTTTGGTTTCTGACATTTTACTCGATTTGCTCTGTGATTTGGGAAAGTTGGAGGAGGCTGAGAGGTGCTTCTTGCAGATGGTGGACAAGGGCCAGAAGCCCAGTAATGTTTCCTTCAAGAGGATCAAGGTGCTTATGGAATTGGCTAACAGGCATGAGGACCTTCAGATTTTGTTCGAGAAGATGTCTGCTTTTGGTTCATCAATCCAGCTAAGAAGAAGTGAAGTGGATGAATTAGAAAGGCCTATTTCAGATTTTATTTCCAGCTAAAGCTGATTTTTATGATTGAGGTCCGAGGAAATGTTTTATACTAAAATTCAATTTTGCAGTGATCCTTGTTCAACGAGGATGTGCTACACCTAAACCTTTGACGCCAGAAAGTTGCAACCAATTCTGCGATAGTTCCCACGTTGCAATCAATTCTGCAATTATTCCCTGGGACTTATGCAAGCAGAGATCTGGAAAATATTTGATATCTATGATATTGCTGAAGACTGCATTTCTCTATTGAAATCCTTTTTTTGAATATGTTCACCAGGGGCTAGTAGAAGAAAGATGTGATAAAGTCAATATTTGGTGATTGTTGAAAGTTAAATAGTGCCACACTGTTAAGCGGTTTTGAAGGGTGAGGGTGAAGGGGGTGGGGTGGGTATTTGTATTATTTGTTCTGGTGAAGTTTCAACTGTCATCTTTCTTTATCAGATAATGAGTAACTTTGTGGCAATGGAGTGGAAGCATTGACCAGAAATATTTAAAGCTAAAATCTTTTGTCATGTGCAGAAATATGTCATCCCAAATGAGGGAATCTGTTTTTAACGATTTCCAGGTAGGGATGTTTGCCACTTCATCGATACATGTTTTATATATTGTTGTGTGAATTGAAAGCCTAAGGATGGTTGTAAATTGATCAAGAGGGGAGAAAGAGAGAGGAACGAGTCAATCTACTGAGGAAATTTGACTTATCGGTACTTATAAAGCAGCTTGTGTTCAACACCCGCGGGGTTGCATTTAAAGAGCCGTGTACTGTTATTCTAGAGGTAGATAATTTTACTTACATGATGACTAAGAATTCTTTGATAGGCTGCATTACCATGGATCTTCGCTCCTTTATCCTGGTTGGTCAGTGGCGTTACTGTATACTGAAATTTCTTCAGTATATGATTCAAATTAAATGTTCTTGTGAGATATGCTCCATACTTGTGTCATACATTTGTTTGTAATAATCGTATTCTAGGAATTGATATGATTGAATATTTTAATAAGAACTCCCTACAGGATATATTGATGTCTGATGTTCCTGACAGATTCTGAAAACTTATGCTGTTGTTTATCTTCTTAAAAGTTAGAGGCATAAAAGGATCCGGCTTTTCCCGATCTACCTTTAATCCATGAAAATGGGTTTTGGCATAGTAAATTTTTTGGAGAATGTGTGGCTAAATAATAAGAAAAGGTTTTGGTTTTACATGCAAAAATATTTTGTTGTGTGAATGTGTGGTTGAAAATGATTATGAGAAATAAAGAATTTTGTTTTAATGGGAGTCAAACGGGGAAATGTATGATTAAAATGAGTTTGAGAAAAAAATGGAGTTTTGAAATAATGGTAGACAAACAGGAGCTTAATTTCTTTGTAGAATTCATACAATTGTTCATTCTGAAGCATGGACCATATTATATTATTAAAATTTCAAAATACAGGAATTTGTATGGGCTAGCCTATTGAATCTCACAGTATATGAACTTTTACGGAGACATTTTTGCTAGCCTCATTTTGCATCCCTCCTACATTCTTTATAAACTGATTTTCCATTTCCTTGGCAAATGTAACTGCTTTCTGAATTTTGATTTTAACCGATTAAAGGAATTTCTCTTTCTATAATCTCAAGAAAGTAAACAGTTCTTTCTTGTTCTTGGCAAATCTGAATGCTTTCTGATTGAGGATCTTGATGCTGCTAATGATTAGCATCATAAGACAAGTGTATGCTAAGGGCCTTGGAGTACATCCTTTAAGTGATAAAATGTTGCAGTTCTTTAACTTTTGTTTTCAAATCCCCGAATAGTGCATGTGCTGGATTAGTATCAATGTATCATAACACGTGCCTAACACGCGCCAAATGGAGAATGACACTTGCAGAAGCAGATTTGACCGGCAATGGCCTCTTCAACTTTGAAAAAACCGACATTGAATTTCCATTCTTCCTGTGAATTAGACATCATTTTCTGTTACATCAAGTTGGTTATATTAACTGTTCACAAAATCTGCAGCTAAATGCTTTTTTTCGCTTTAAGAGTTCCGTCATTACTATTTGCATTTCTTTTTAGTAGATTCATCCTTAACGATCTGCTGTCAGGTGTTTGTATTACACAAACACAAGTGAACTTTTGTTGATGATTTATATATATGTAGCACTTCTAGTTGGAAGATTAAGATGGATCCAACTTATATTGGCTAAATTTTCAAATTCTTGTGTTTTATGTGGGGTTCCTGCACATAAAACCTTTCTCAGTTGATATGCTTTTCCAAGTTCGTGATTAATGAAAAATGCCTGTCAACTGTCTCACGTCCTTGTTTTGCAGGTCCTTGACTTCAAATGAGAAGTAATACAAGATAATGATACGAATCTACTGTTCGAGGTATGTGCCTGACGGTGAGTTGTGATATGCCTTGTACAGGTTCAGCATAAAACACAAAGACCTTCTTTGCCCAGAAGAGATAAGGATTACCCTCCGTTCATGTGCGACTCTTATGGGAAAAAACATCCCCATTTTATTTATACCGACAATTGATATACACTGTTTTTTGATCGTACAATATCTACATCTGCTTATATTTTTAAATTATTACAAGGGGGAAACCACTAATTCCCAACTGCTTTCAACTAGAATTTTTGAAAAGAAGAAAAAGCTTGGAACTTATTTTGATGTGGGAAACCAATTAACTCAAATGGTCTATGATCAACTGAGGAATAATTGTGGAATGAGTTACTGGGCTGCTATTAGTTCTGTAGGTTTGGTGGCAATGCCATAACCAAATGGAAACGGAGGATCATTATGTGGATTATGGACATTCATCAGAAGCTGATAGAAAATCCTCATCCAAGTGCGGGCAAGCTTTCCAGAACCATATTCGCTGTAAAGAACATCAGCAATAGCTTGGCCTTCAGTCCCCGACGCCAAACAGCCACTGGTGCTTCCATTTTTAAAAGGTAAAGTTATGCTACAACTGGGCGCCAAGAAATGATGATGACAAAACATTTCACAGAATCACACACTTTAGTTACTGTACTGTAACCCGGTTCAGATATTGTCAGATCTTTGCTATCTCCAGCATACTCTGAATATGGGAGTTTATCCACGATAATGATAGCATGAGAGAAGTTATTGGAGTTAAGAATTCCGTCGGGATTTTCATTGTATATAAATTCTCTGCTGGGATCTACATTGTTCCCGATGGCTGTTAATATTGTAGTACCTATCAAACAACTGAATCAGATGAATTTTCCATGTCTGGTTCTGAATTCTTAATAAACTCTTGATTTTGAGTAAATCAAGATTTCTGATTCTTATGTTTAGAACATACCGTGGAGTTTTCAGAATGGCCATGCCATTTTATCGTCCATCCTCCACATTGATCCCAAATATCGTTGGTATGAATTCTTGTCACGAGTATCTTCCGTGCTTTCATGGAAAGAGGACCATAAAGTACTTGTGATTTTCTCACAGCTTCCTTAGCCAATTCTCTATGCTCATGTTTGAAGAAAAACTGCTCTAAGTAAACATTTTCCGTGGAAATGGGATAAATTCATGCTAAAAATTATGTGATTGTCGACCTGGCTTCCAAGTTTACTGGCCAAGATTCGATCAGCCATTGGATTCTCAAAGAGTCCTAAGATAAATTTGACCCGCAATATCCTCTCCCCAGAACCGTCAATTCCGCTTATTGGCATCATATTTTTCTTCACTAGTGAGGACAGATCATCAATGAATTCAACGAACTTGTATGGAAGCATGACATTCGAAAAATCAGACAAGATCCCGTCTTTAGTTCACAAATAGATTACTCACATATGAACACATTTTAGAGTGCTGACAATGTTGATTCCAGCTTGAACTGAATGAGTATAGTTTACATGGGCTGCACATGGATGTTTTTTTTAATCCATTCCAGTTTATGATAGTATATTATACTCATCAATACCGTTAATTGTGCCACCATCTCCCACAAAGTGCTTTGCAAACCCTGCAAATTTTATACTTCACGGTCGAAAATCAATCAGATCAATTAGTAATTTTACCATCAGAATGCAATAGAAATTTCATCAATAATTCTTGAAGCCGGCCATAGATTTGGTGTCGGTTATGCAATTCATTTTTCCTCGTTTACATTTTGTCTCTATGGACAGAGGAGAGAAGGAGCTCGAGTGCATTAGTAAAGCAAGAAGGTCAACCTCTTTCGAATATTAAACATGAATTCTTGCAATGCAATATAGTTAGTCTTTCGTGTCGATCCTCCTCTCTTTTTCTTTTTTTTTTTGGGAGGTCAATCTTTGCGCGCTGGGGTTCATCACTTCTATTTTAATTCCTAGCTCAGACAATCGCTCTAATCTCCATTAATCTGACGTGGACCTTATCCATTCTTGGAAAAAATTGATAAGATCAGTGTTCGAATACTAATCAAGTCTTGGATTTTCATTAACTTCAATTTTTTTTATATATTCTCTCATGATTATATTTCTATTAGTTTATTTAAGAATAAAAACTATCACGTTATTTTACATTATTCCTCGTAATAAAGTTTGATGTTGTTAAGAAACGAGTTACCATCTTAAAGGATAAGCAAAAAATAAAATTTAATATCATTCAAGTATCAAGTCTTTGTTGGTAAACGTATAAATTGTTTATAAATGATAAACTTCATTTTCAATCTCGCAATGCAATTGATCTACAAGTATTATTCATCATTCATGTCTATCTATTTATAAATTATACAGTATATATATCCTTCCTAAATGGTTTAAAAATTAATTAACGTATAAGGGCTTGTGCTGCTGATTTTTTCAACAAAGTTAATATTTTAAGACGAAAGTACAAAACTCAATATTATTATAATATACTGAACTAGATATAAATTTGATTCAAAATACTTGGCCAGTCTGGCCTCATTTTTCCATCAAAATGTATTCTTGAACACTTATTTAACTTCATTTCAGTCACATATTTTTCAATAAAATAATATTACACGTAAATTTAAAACTTTTTCTTATTTTTAATTA